CCACCACACGGAGCCTGGAGCGCTGCTGATCCAGCCTGTCCACCCTCTTGCCGCATTTCTCAAACTGTACCTGGTCTGGGGATGGGGGTGGCTGATGAAACCCCCTTGGATAGAGGTGGAGGGACAAAGGGGCTCTACCCACTACTTGCCCAAGTCCTCACCTGGGGGATCTAGGATGGACAGTGGCTGGTCATCATCTGAAAGACCAAGTATATCCAGGTTATGGGAGAACCAGTCTGACGTTGATGGCTGAGGCAGTATATGGGGAAGAGTTATCAACACTCACTGCAGCGTCGAAGGGCACAGTAGTCAAACGGAGTCCCTGGGTCAATGGTGTAGCACCATGGCCCATGACTATCCCCATCTGGATTCCGGCAGAAGTTTTCCTTCAGTTGAGCTTGAGGAACTGAGGAGGGCGTGTATCTAGGTGGAAGCCAGAACAAAATCATGGCAGGGTGGTCTCAAGCTTTCTCCAGACTCAGGTCCAAGAAGCCAAAGCCTATTGCCCAAGGTTAAAGCGCACTTACTGAGGCTTGTGCGGTGTCTCAGCAGACCAGCGCTGGCACTGGACACCCTTGCGGGTCTTGCTGACTGAGCCGCGGTACTGCTCGCCTGAGCCGTGGTAACAATCTGCCATGGGCGGGCAAGAGCAGCGGTCAGCTCCAGTCCTCGCCCTGACCCTCAAGCTTGGCGCTTCTATCCCTTTTGCTCGGGCCTTACCCTCCGGCCGCACGTCGTCAGTACAGCGCTGGATCTGGTAGCAAAAAGCCACGCGCATACCAGGCCGTGATGTGAAGCACCAGGGCGCCTCGGAGCCGTCTGGGTTCCGGCAGAAGTTCTCCCGAAGGTCCCTGGACAGACAGCGGCCTCCGCTGTGGGGCCGGGCCTCCAGCCGCACCCCCCCCCCAAACTCCTTCAAGTCCCGCCCCCTCCCGCCCGAATACTCCCCCCAGCGCCCTAGGATCACTCACTTGCAAGCGTATTTTTCCGGCGCAAACCGGTGCTGATGCGGGCTCTGAGCGTCCCAACGCTGGCAAGGCACGCCGGTAGTGGTAGTATTGGCTGTGCCCCGATAGCCCTCACCCTTTCCGCGGAAGCAGCTGAATGTTGTGGCCTCGCGGCTTGGTTGTACCTCGGATCCTTGGATGGACCGGGGAAGATCGGACCCTGACCAGAGGCTGAGCTTTTCCTCTTATGGATCTTTAGTACTCAGCAGGATTTGCTCTTAACTTCCCGTTGGGTTGTCCCACCCCAGCCAAGTCACGCTCTTCCCCCAACTTTTCCCAGATGCCCTTCCAAGCTCAGTCCCCGTGGCCTACCACAACGGGGGAGGTCGCAGAATTCTCGCTCGAGCTGCGGGTCTGTAGTGTAGCACCAGGGTCGCTCAGATCCATCAGGATTTCGGCAATAGTTGTCATCCAGACCTTGGTCCGGAAACCTGGGGGTAGTAGCGGGCATGAAGAAGACCCTGGGACTCTGCCCCTGCCCAATTTCCTTCTTGCTGAACCTGCTGCTGATCCAGCCTGTCCGCACTTCTCATACTGTACCAGGTCTGGGGATGGGGTGGATCTGATGAAAGTGAAGGGTCATTTTCCCCTGACCCTTCCGGTCAGGGTAGGACCTACAGCCCCACTCCTGTAGGTCTGGACCTTCCCTTAGCCCCGCCCCCGGAGAGCAGATTCTGCGCACCCACACGTACTTGCCAGGCTCGAAGGGATGCGAATGCGGGTGCTGCAGGTCCCAGCGCTGGCACTCGCGTCCCGACTCTGTACGGTCCACCGCGCCGCGGTAATCTTCGCCGTTGCACCAAATGCAAGCAGCTGGAGACACAGCGCCAGTACGTTCCTGGACAGGAGTGGGCCTGTTCCTCCCTCCCCAGGCTTGACCGAGCGCTGCTTACCCTCCTGGCAGGACTTGATGCCGCAGCTTTGGAAGCGCACTGCAGGGTTTGTCGTGTAGCACCAGGGACCTCCAGGGTCCCCGTCAGGATTGCGGCAGAAGTTCTCTTCCAGGCCGTTCCGGAGTGTGGGAGTATACCTGGAGGCAGAGAGTCGTTGCTACATTGTGTGCTGCGGAAAGTCTACGGGCGGGGATAAAGGGAAAATATCAGTCTCACTTGTGGTCGTTAGGGAACCTGTGTCTCCAAGCTTGGCAGGGCAGGCCACCTGCTGTTTTTGCCACAGTGCCCCGGTACCCAACCCCATTGTCCATGAGGCAGGACCGCACATAGTCTGGAAGCAAGAGATGAAAGGTTAAGAGGGTCTGAGGCCCCTGACCTCATATTCGCCCTGCTCTTCCCTGCACCCACTTGCCTTTCTTCTGGAAGAGATCACAGCACCCAGAACGTTGTAGCTGCATGTGGGGTGAGTGCTGGGTCCACGGCAGGAGTTGGCAACCATTGCTACTCATGTTATAATGGAAGGCACTGGGGAGGAGAAGGCACAGGGTTATTCAGAGGCCCAGGTTCCCATACCTCCAGCCAAATCTAGACCACATGGGCACTCACCGGCAGTCTAGGAGGGGCCCACAGAGCCTAGCACACTCTTCAGCATCTGCCACATCCTCCTGCCAAGGCCCTGGTATCACTGCATGTAGCAGGTGCTGCAGTTCTGTGCCACGAAGCACCTGGAAGTCATTCAGTGGTGAGCGCTGTCCTGTGTGTGGGGTGGGCACAGGACAAGTTGTCATGCATGTCAGTGGCATGTTCCACATTTTGTCCATTCAGAAGATCAGATACAAGGATAAATTCTGTTTGCACTTTCAAGAGCCAGTCCAGTGCCCCCTGCATAGGGTGTGGGAAGTAGGCCCAGACATGCCAATTGTCATCACTAGTACCTCTAGCAGGCCAGGTACAGCTCAGATCTAACATATTCCATGAGAACTGTGGGTGATGGTGCTTGCCCTGTGAAGTTTAACCAACTCATCCTTTTTTTTTTTTTTAATCTGCATATGTATTTTATTTCCATTAGAAAAATATTGTCTACATAAAATTTTGGTCCACTTTTACTTCTACCACTCAAGAGTGAATATTTTACAAGTAAAAGCAGAATCACATATCTAACATGAGAACTAAATATTTCATATCATTTAATTGAATAGAATGAAATTGAATTAGGCTTGCTCTTTATTATTTTTCGGGAACAATAACTCATCTACCCTGTGTTATTTTTCCTCTGTACTTTAGTTTACTTGAGTGACTATGTAATGAGTGTCCCTTCTCCCATATTCAGCAATGAGTGCACACATGTGTAATTTGTAGCATCAGTACTTGGATTCATTATCTAATATTCAATTCATGTCAACTCCCTGTATAATATGGTATTTCCATTGTTAGGTGCAGGACAGGCTGAGTAAGCTGTCTGCAGGGCATGCCAAACAAAGTTAACTGCAGGATGACCTGGCCTCTCAAACCCTCTGTCTGGTTCTTTATCAACTATTTGCTTCAAGCCCAAACACCCAAGCCCCCGCTCAAGGCTGAACACTCAACCCCCTGCTCAAGGCCGAACATGTAACCCCCCTTGTGCCAACAAGGCAGCTTGCAGACCCAGAGACCTCATTAGATTTGGGCTATAAAAACTCCCTCCTGCCGGGCCCCTCTCTCTCTTCTCTCTTGCTCTGTCTCCTTTGCGCGCGTGCTCGCCTCCCTCTCTCTCTCTCTCTCTCTCTCTTTCTCTTCTCCTCTGTTGCACTGCTGCAATAAAGATCTCTTGGTTGCTCTGAGTGTTGTGGTCACTTCCCTTTCATCCATGATAACTACAGATATTTTAGTCACATGTATACTTTCAACATCAATTGTAAGAATCAAAATGTTAATTTAAAGACATGATGAGAATAACACTGCCCACTTATAAACCTGCCGTTGTGAGAGGTCCCTGGACAGCCACTGCTTCAATCTCAATGCATGCTCCTTTGGATAAAGCAGCAACCTGGAAAGCAGCTCTAGCAGGAAAATTACTCTTGAAATACGGTTTGTAGATTTCATTGACAGTATTGAAGTCATTCATGTCAGTCAGCAAAACAATTGCTTTGACCACATTAGTGAAGTCACAGTCTGCCACTTTCAGAATTTCACCCATGTTTGTGAGAGCTTGTTTAGTTTCTGCTGCTATCCCTCCACGTACAAGCTGTCCACTGGAAGGATCCATGCCTATCTGTCCAGAGATGTAAATGGTCTTGTCCACTAACACTGCTTAACTGTAGGGACAAATGGCCCTTGGGGCTTTCACGGTGCTGATCACCTTTCTGATAAGTGACGACATTTCAGTATTTCTTTATTATGCCCCTCCAACAGAAGATACCCCTTCACCAGCCCTACCCAATTCTCACCCAACAACTGACCAGCCCTGGGCAGCGTCTGCTGGAGGGACGGTGGAGCGCGCTCGCTCCCAACTCATCCTTTAAATGAGAATACTTAGACTCAGAGCTATTACTTTACTCAGGGAGGGCCCCAACCTGGCATTCTGACTCCAAGTCTGGGCTCTCATGAACATGAAGGCATATGCTAGGTTAGGGGGTAGATCAGGCTCAAAAGGAGTCACTGCCTGCTATGTATGTTCAGCTGAGTAGTCCCAACACTGCTTTAATGCTACAGCAGACATGTGAACGTAGGCCTGAGTGGACAGTGGTTTTTTTGTGTGTGTGTTCCAAGTCTTCCCAGCTCTGTTCAAGAGGCCAAGGTCATTTCTCCCTGCCCAGTGGGAAAGTGAGCTCCTGACAAAAACAGTAGCATGGGCCTAGGGTCTACCCCCTCCTACACTTGAGGTGAGGATTAGAGGTGGGGGAACTCACCTGGGGCCACTAAGACCTGGGTCAGAAGCAACAGGATTGGGAACCACCCCATCCTCCTGGCAAGAGGCTGCACTGTGACCCACTACAGTCCCATCGGGGAAGTTGTGAAACCTGGCCCTACAGGATTGGGTGGCTGTGGCCACACACCCCCACTCCAGGGCTGCTGGGGCCTGACCTGAAACCCTGTGGCAGGAGCCAGATAGGGCTAGCACAAGGGCCTTCACCCTGGCACACCTAGACCTCTGAGGGTCCTAGGAAGTGGTCAGAGACTAGTAAGATTAACAGGGGAGACTCAAAGTAGCCTGGGATGGGGGTGAAGCCTCCCTACAGCCTTTTCTGTCCAAGGGCACTGGACAGAAAAGCCCATCGGATTGTCATTGGATGCTGTCAGAGGCCTGGGTGGTGACATTAAATTTCTGAGCCTCAGTTTCCCCCTGTAAATTGGGAAATATTATCTGCCCAGCCCCAGTACTGGTTCCCCCTTTTCTTGCCTTATCAGCAGTGCCCCAGCTGTAGACAAGTCAGCCCACACCCCTGGTAGCACAGCCAGGAAGGCTCACTGCCTGCCAGAAGTATCGTCCCAAGGAAGGTGAGCAAGTCCCCTTTTGGGCCTAAATAGGGGTGGAGATGACAGGTAGCAGCGACTCTAGCAGGAGTGGTCTTTCAAGCATATGGGCCTGGAAGACACATGGGCCAATCCTCCAAGTAGGCCAGGAACAGAGACAGCTGGCCTTGGGATCCCTGTCAGGACCTGGCCTTAGACCGCGGCTGGGCTAGAAGCGCCCCCAAGGCAGGGGGTGTGGGGGTTGAAACAGGTTGAGAACAGTCCTGCGGTTGGCAGGGTGAATTCCCTGACAGTGGCCTAGCGAGGCCAGGGCGTCTATGCGTGCGCGTGCGCGTGCACGGCTGAAGGCGCTGCGCGTGAGAGGGCGCATGGTTTGGCCCTGGACGGACTCCGTAGCCGAGAGGCTAGGCGGATGTTGTGAGCCGGTCGCGGCCGCCGAGGCTGGGGGTGAGTGAGGGGCGACGGGCTCTGAGCGGAACGGGTCCCTGACGCTCCCCTCGAGCCCTTGGCCAGTGCAGAGCGACAGCTCCCGCCTCGGGGGAGGAGGGTCGCGACTTGTGGTGTGGGACTCAGAGCGGGAGCTGGCCTAGGGTCCTTTGGAGCTTGAGGCCAGATGGGGGCGACTTGGGGGAGCCATGAGTTGCCCTTGGCGTCCTTGGACTCTGAGACAGAGTCGGTTTGTTTCCATGCCTGGATCCCTGGACAGAACTGGGCAGGATCACAGTGTCAGGGATGCCCCCCGCCCAAGCAGGGGCAGGGGCCGCCTTTCATTTGAAACCTCAACACCTGAGACCCAGAGTGGTCTTCTGGAAGGTTAACTTACAGAAGGTTTGAATGACCGCGTCTTATCAGTCTTAGAACTGCTTAGATGTGAAGGGGCACTGGATATGGACGCCCGCTGAGATCCCCCAGTGGGTGGCAGGGCAAGAGAATCATCTTACCTAGGCAGATGTAGAGCAGATGGCAGGAGTTAGTGGTGGGAGCATAGGACCTGTTTGGGGTGAGATAAGAGTGGGTTGCAGGAAAAAGTGCTAACTAAGGCAGTGCTGAAGGGTCGAGTTCTAGAAAGAGACTAGTAGAACTGTAATAATGGAGATATACTATCTCTGTGTTGAACAGTATAGCACAGCCACCTGGGGTCATTGGACTTCTGAAATGTGGCTAATGTTACTAAGAAATTTAGTCTAAACTTTTCAGACTTTAATTCAAATTTAAATAACCACACGTGGCTGCTGGCTACTGTGTTGGACAGCACTAGGGATATAGTGCAGCTTCTCGAGCAGATACAGCAACAGTGTGCTTTGTAAGAAGACCAGTGGAGTCTAAAATGAAGGCTGGGCAAGAGTGGTGCTTAGATGGGGTGGGTGGTGCGTGTGTGAATGGAAACAAGAAGCCTAGCAGGATTGTGGACAAGAGAAGGGAGCAACCTGGAGCTGACAGAAGTTTCATCCTTGGAAGAATAAGTAGGACTTGTGGCTGAACATGGCTAGACTAGTAGTTTCCTGTATTTGGGGGAAGGTGCTATATACCTCTTCTGGATATGAGCTAGACCCAGTGTAGATTACAACTGAAGTAGATACAGGGACTTTGGCGCTGGGCCACCTCACTTTGGACATTTTGGTCTGATTGTCAAGAGCTAAGTCATCTAGTTATGATTCAGCAAACATATATCTGACACCTGCTCTCTGCTAGGCCCTATGCTAGGCACTGAGACACAGTGTGGAACATTGGACCCAGACCCTACCTACCTTCCCTGCATAGGAAGCTGGGAGCCCTTGCTTTCTCTGCCCTAGGTTGGTATGTGTGTGAGTGTGCATGCTTCTGGCCTCACCTGCTCCCAAGCCTTCCTACCATTGCAGGACCGAGGTCAGGTGTGAAAGCCCTTAGCTGGCCTTGAGTAGACAGGCTTTGCATTTGGCTCAGCCTCCAGGACCACTAGCTGCCCATGAGAGATGAAGGATGGCGTCCAAGGGGGCCGGCATGTCTTTCTCCCGCAAGAGCTATAGGCTGACCTCAGATGCTGAGAAATCCAGGGTCACAGGTAAGGGCTGGCAGGGCAGGGAGGATGCTCCTTGCATTGGGGGAAAGAGAAGGTAGGGACAAATGCAGCAAAGTCTGGGGTCCAATGAGCCTCAGGCCTTTCAGCATCTCTTGTCCTGTGAGCCAGTTCTTCTCCATTAGCAATTGAGGGTAGTGCATCCAACATGGCTGTTCTTTTGACCCCTTTGACTGGCCAAGGACCAACAGTCTCTGGGGTCAGCAGGAGCCAGGAGCTGTGCTGACCATGTGCCCCTTTTTTCCCTTCTGACCTGTGACTCAGGCATTGTGCACGAGAAGCTGCTGAATGACTACCTACACCGCATCTTTTCCTCTCCTGACCATGTACCCCCCGCAGCCACCAGCAGGTATGGCTGGGGGGGTAACCCCTCCTCACTCTGATGGGCCTGACCCAAGGCTGGAGGCTGGAGTTGTGCAGAAGGGCATCCTGTCCTCTGGGCAGTGTGGCTTGGGTTCTGATCTCACTCAGCTCCTGGCTCAGAGACCTGTGGCCAGAGAGTCTACCTTCTGGTCTCTACTTCTTCCTCCTTCCAGGTGGTGCTAGTTCCTTCCTTCTGAGGATGTTGTGGAGGTCAGGGAGGGGTGCTGGTGCAGTGCTAACATAGCACCTGGTCCTCTTCCACGTTCAGAATCTGGCCCTATGTGTACCTGCCTGCACCTCTGCCCCACCCTGGCCCCTTGTTGCCTCTGCCTAAGTTTGTAAAGTACAAACCCCACTGGGCCCTTTTATTTGCAAATGTAATACAATTTAAGTTTAGTCTATGTAAAAGTTAAAAATATACTTTAGCAGAAACTTTAAGAGAGAAGCAAAGTCATCTGTCACTTTGTTATTCCAGTGTGACAATTTGGATGTGATTCCTTTCTGTTTACTTCATCTCACAATGTATATAGTCCAGATTATGCTCTATATAAAACTTCTAAAAAATGTTGTCACCTTCAGTGCCCCTCTTCAACATTTTTGAGCTTTAATTGGCAAAGAATAAACTGCCTGTATTTAAAGGACACAACTTGTTAAGTTTTAACATGTATGTAACCTATGAAACCACCTCTAACATCAAGGTAATGAACATGTCCCTCACTTCCAAAAGTTTGTAGAAGTTTGAATCCTATTTTCATCATCAGACATTATCCCATGAGTATTTTTCCACATTATAAATGGATCTTGGTGGCCATCTTTTAGGACCAAGGTTTTGCCATGGCCCATATTACTGCCCTCATTTGGAGGAACTTTTGCTTTTACAAGCAATTCTGTGAGTATATCCAGGATTGCAGTCTTGTCGGCTAACATATTTGAACTGCAAATACTTTTTTTTTTTTAAGAGAGAGAGAGAGAGAGAGAGAGAGAGAGAGAGAGAGAGAATTTTTTAATATTTATTTTTTAGTTTTCGGCGGACACAACATCTTTATTTGTACGTGGTGCTGAGGATCGAACCCAGGGCCGCATGCCTGCCAGGCGAGCGTGCTACCGCTTCAGCCACACCCCCAGCCCAACTGCAAATACTTTAAAGACTGTTGACAAATTCTTTTTTTGTGAGGGGATACTGGGGATTGAAATCAGGGGCATTCGATCACTGGAGATTAAAATCAAGGGTACTTGACCATTGAGCTACATTCCCAGCCCTATTTTGTATTTTATTTAGAGACAGAGTCTCACTGAGTTGCTTTTGCTGAGGTTGGCTTGTGATCCTTCTGCCTCCGCCTCATTCCTGCCTCCATCTCTCTCCTGCCTCGGCCTCTCAAGCGCTGGGATTACAGATGTGTACCACTGTGCCTGGCTGTTGACAAATTTTTTTATAGGATCATGTAGATTCTTCCTCCCTTCAGTGAGGTGTGGGTGTCCCTGCCTCTGTGTCCCTTACCAGTCTTGACTCTTCTATCCTTCATGATCTGTGCTCTTGGGCTAGGCCCAAAAGGCAGCACCATTGCCTGTTCTATTTGAGTGACTATGGTGGTCAAAAGATTCCTACTTGTGGAGGGATTCTAGCCACCCTTTCCCCAACCCCAGTCCTGGCCTATTCTCAGGGCCATCTGATCCCTACCTCATGTGATACCAGAGATGGTCCTGCTCTTGGTGGTGCTGTGGCTGCCAGGAGGGAGAGCAGGTGGTAGGGCCATCGGTCAGTAGTTATGGAAATGTAGGCCCCTGGGCTGAGACATAGGAAATTCAGAAAGTGCATACAAGTGCTGGTGTTGGCTAAATGTCAGTGCTGCAGGCACTCAGTGTAGGCTCTCTCAGGCTACTTGCCCACAGCAGTGTGCAGTCTGCTCTTGGGGGCAGGCATAAGTGCAGCCCTCCCAAATTTAGGCCTGCAAGAACTGCTTTTTAGGAAGCCTGCATTACCCTTGGGCCTATTATGACATTCAGACAATGCCCTGGGGTCGGCTTCAGCCTTCCATATTGGCTGGACAGCCCATTGTATAGCTGCCCCTGATCTTTACCTGGGGCTCAGCAGGGGTGGGGCCTTTGTACATCTTGGTCTCCTGCAGCTCAGGGTCATTAGTGGCTTATAGCAAGGAGATATGTGGTTCTTGAGCCTGGGTCATAGTTATCTTGTGGGAGTTGGTGCTTTGATCCATCTGTGTCCCCTTCCAGATTCTACTGTGTGGTAGATGAGTAGGGTAAGTACTGGGATTAAAAGTGGAAGAGCAGGTACTGGCATTCTGTAGGCTGGATTCAGATGGGCATTGGGCCTATGCTCTGCCAAGTCCTGCTGGTTGCTCCCACTCTACTGCCTGCTATTCTTAGTAGTTGAGCTAAGGACAGAGCTGGCCAGCATTAGAAAGTGCCCTTTCTACTCTGGGCATGTGTGCTAAGAAGATGAAGTGGCCACCCAGACAGATTTTTCCAGACCCTTTAGCTATGGCATGTGGCAGGCAGGTGGACCATGTGCTGGCCATCTGTGAACAGGTAGGTATAGGATGCCAACCAGCACCTCAGAGAGTTGAGCCTTTCATTTGCCAGACTAAATTCAACAGAGTCTTCTCTAACTGTGTATAGGAAGACTGGAAGTCTGTCATGAAAGGAACCACAGGCCTAGAACAAGGGCTGGATTAAGTGGCCTTGGTACTGGACATCTTGGGGACTGGTATTTCTCCTAGACTTCTTTTCCCAGCCATAATCAACACAGCCACCTTCAAGAGTGGGTAGGTTATGGAACATGCAGGAAGCATGCATTATTCCTTGGACTCATCATAGCATCTCTGACATACAGCTGTTGTTCCCTTTTTGTAGGTGGAAGTATTAAAGTTTAGAAAAGGCTGTTCTCTTATAACAGTCCCAAGGTGCATGTACCAATTGTAGGACTGGTTGTAGTTTTTAGTTTGGTGGCTAATCCAGCTTCTGAGTCAGAAGCATACCAGGGTCTAGGATGAGGCAGAGGGTTTAGTGTTCTCTGATGATTTCAAGGACTCGTGGGCCCCTGGCAGCCTCTCACTTTCCCCAGGAAACCCCTGAACTTCCAGAACCTGCCAGAGCATCTGGACCAGCTGCTACAAGTGGACAATGAGGATGAGGAAAGCCAGGGTATGTGGCATCCTCTGGAGTGGGGCTGGGGGGCGCAGAGCTGGGCCCTAGAGGCTTCTCTGGTGAGCTCAGTGCACCCTATGTATCTCTTATACCATTTGCCCTGCCTAACTCTATACCTCTCCTCTTCAGGACAAGCTGAAGGACGGCTTGGTCCATCCACCGTGGTCCTGGACCACACAGGAGGATTTGAGGGGCTTCTCCTAGTTGATGATGACCTCTTGGGGGTGAGTAAGGGTGAGGTATAGGGCCCCTGGTCCAGCCCCTTCTGACAGCCCCAAATTCCTCCTGATATGGCCTTCTAAACTCATCCTACCATAGTCCCAGACCATGTGTCCTCAACCCCTAAATCCTCCTGACATATCCCCGAAACCTTCCCAACAAATCTCTGAGCCTCTCACATCATGCCTCTGGTCCAGAACCTCCTGACAGAGGCACAGCCCCTCCCACCCTGTTCAGGCATGTGCAGTGGTAGCCACAACATGCCAGTACCACCAGGGCTTGCTGAGCTGGAGATAGGGTCTATATGCCTGAGAAGAAGCTCATCATCCCTCTTTTTTTTTTTTTTTTTTTTTTAAATATTTATTGTTTAGTTTTCGGCAAACACAACATCTTTGTTTGTATGTGGTGCTGAGCATCGAACCCGGGCCGCATGCATGCTAGGCGAGCGCGCTACCGCTTGAGCCACATCCCCAGCCCTCATCATCCCTCTTTTTTACCCAGGTGATTGGACACAGCAATTTTGGCACTATCCGCTCTACCACATGTGTGTACAAAGGTAAGTCCACACTTCCCTGAGGCCCAGAGAGTTGGGATGAAGTTTGAGGGCCCCAGCCTGAGGCAAGAGAAAGTCTTTGTCCATCTGCTGGCACTAACTCTGCTCGTTCCAGGGAAGTGGGTCTATGAGGTGCTCATCTCCTCCCAGGGGCTCATGCAGATCGGCTGGTGCACCATCAACTGCCGCTTTAATCAGGAGGTACACACAGAGGAGGGGGCCCATCCTGGGGAGATCATTACCTTTCATGGTCCTCATCAGGGTTCTGGCAGCCCCCAGACCTGCTCAGGACCCTAATCTGGACTTCCCTCTTGAGAAGGAATGTGTTCCATTCTACTCCAGGCCACCTCAGGGTAGAATCCCTTACTTGTCCCCTCACAAGCATCAGCCCCCTTCTCTAGAGCCAGGGGAGTCCAAGGTTGATGACTTGTAGGTTCTGGCCTGCTCCTACCTCCCTCCCCCTAGAACTCATAGGCAGTTCCTCCCTAGGAGGGGGTTGGAGATACACACAACTCCTATGCCTATGATGGGAACCGGGTGCGCAAGTGGAATGTGACTACAACGAATTATGGCAAGGTAAGGGCCATGTGGATCACAACCCCATGACTATCCCCATAACTTATCTGGAGCCACTGGGCAGCCATGAAGGACTGAAGTCACCAGGGAAGGGACAGAGATTCGGGGCTTCCCTGCTTGAATCTAGTCTCCCCTAAGTGGTCCTAGAAAGAGCTAGGAGTACAGAGTGAAAGGGCTGCTGTGCTTTCATGCATCTGTAAGCCCTCCTCTCATGGCAGGCATGGGCAGCGGGGGACATTGTGAGCTGCCTGATTGATCTGGATGATGGTACTCTGTCTTTCTGCCTGTGAGTCTCCCATGTTTATCTGTAGGCCTGGCCTCTAAGGGCCTCCCCAGACTGTCCCCAGGGGCCCAGGCTAAGTTTGGTAGCCTGAAGGTGGGAAGTCACATCCTTCTTGGCACTGACTCACAGATGTACTCTTCTCCTCCAGGAATGGTGTGTCACTGGGCATTGCCTTTGAGAACCTGTCCAGGGGCCTGGGCATGGCCTACTTCCCAGCCATCAGCTTGTCTTTCAAGGAGTCTGTGGCCTTCAACTTTGGCAGCCGTCCTCTACGATATCATTTTGGGAAGATGGCTGTGGGTGGCTTGGAATCTAAGATGAGGAGCTCCTTACCCCAAGAGCATTGCAGGAAGTCTAGGATGAGGGACTCCTTGCCCCAGGAGTACTGTGGGGCTTGTGGCAGGTGCTAGCTGCTGCGAGAAGTAAATATGAATAGGGTGCACCTTAGGTAGGTGGGTACAAGGATAACAGTCCTTATAGTAATCTTTTTAGATACTATCATTGTAGTACTTCATGGAGCAGATGAAGGATATGAAGTGGCAAGAGTTTTACCCCATGGAGTTGTGATGTAAACCAAGCATCATAGGCCTGCCCTAGAGCCCAGTCCCTCCTTGGGCACACAGTGGGAGGGCAGGGTACATTTGAGCCTCAGGTCATGCATTTCTGGCTTAACTCTGTGGCACCTACCCAGTCGCCGGCTTCCGGCCCCTGCAGGACCCACCATGTGCTGACCTGGTGAGGGCACAGAGGTTGCTGGGCTGTTTCCGGGCAGTACTTAGTGTGGAGCTGGATCCCGTGGTGAGCCAGGGTCTGGGCGGGCTAGCTGGGGTTCTTTCCCAATCCTCCTGCCCATATGGCCTAATTTTCCCCTCCCCGCACCACAGGAAGGTCGACTAGTGGAGAAGGAAAGCTCTGAGTGGCAGTTGCAAGGACAGCCCACCATTCTCCTCACACTGGCCCACATCTTTCAGCATTTTGCACCACTCCTGGTAAGAGAACAACAGGGAGGAAAGAAGCAGGCCATACTAGTTGTGCCCATGGTAGAAACCTGTACCAGGACCTGCAGTGCTCAGGTGTAGGAGGTCCAGTAGCATCACGTAGCAAGTCCGCCACACAACCAGAGCCTTCAGACTTCAAGTACAGCACTTGGGGAGGAGGGGACACTTCCAGCTGAGTGCATCAGAGGATGTTATGGGAAGAATATTGAAGGGTAATGATGTTGTAGGCTAAGGAAACTGCATGTGCAAAGCCATAGAAGGGTTGTGAGGAAGTGGTTCTTCTTGTCTCTAATTCAGACCCCAGAAAGGCACTTCTGTGTCTTAGGGTTGCATGAGGGGCCCAAGATTGCCTGAGGCCTGACCCTTCAGTGTAGCCTTGGCCATATGCCAGGCAGGGGTTACCTGAGCTGAGCTGAGGGCTGCCACTTCACCAATGCCTGCCTTTCACACAGCGCAAGGTGTATCTGGTAGAGGCTGTGCTCATGAGCTTCCTGTTGGGCATCATGGAGAAGGGCACACCTGCACAGGCACAGTCCCTGGTGCACCAGGTTCTAGACCTCTTGTGGCTCTTCATGGAGGTGAGATTCCTGACCTTAGGTTCAGGCCAGGCTGTTTGGCTCCACTGGGGTGGGAGGTATGGGAAGGGTCTTGGAAAAGGCTCCCAAATGGCTGCCCTAGCCTCTCTCCCCAGGACTACGAGGTACAGGATTGCCTTAAGCAGTTGATGATGTCTCTGCTGCGGCTGTACCGGTTCTCACCCATTGTTCCAGATCTGGGCCTGCAGGTGGGAGTGCCTGTCCCTGCCCTGAGCCCCAGTACCTCACTTGCCTATTCTGAGAATTCCCTCTCCACAGATCCACTACCTGCGACTCACTATCTCCATTCTGAGGCACCAGAAGTCCCGCAAATTTCTGCTTAGCAACGTTCTGTATCCTCCCCTTGCTGCCAGGCAGGCCAGCCATATAGAATGTTCTGGGATAAGCAGAGGCCAGAAAGGGCAATGTCCCTATATCCAGGGGCCCCCAGAGAGGCTCAGGACTAGAACTGAGTCCCTGGCCCTGGACCTTCTGAGCAGAGCAGGAAAGGTAGAGTGGAGGACTGCTGAGGCCTGCCTCGCTTGAGCAGGGCTTTCCAGGTTACCGTAGACTCTACAGCTATGTGGGGGTATGGGAGAGGCCCCAGGGTCTGTCCTCTTTAGCTATAGCTCTGCATTTTGTGTCTATGTTTCTTTGCTCTAAGGAGGCAGAGCCTCTGAGTAAGAAGGAGAGCCTAGCTCTGGGTCCCTGACCAGGAAGCCTAAGCTTCTGGCCATTTTCTTAGTTTGGGTCTTCCAGCCTCCAGAAGGCTGAAACAAAGCTGGGAAACACAGGGTCCAGAGTTGGGGACTTCAAAGAGGTTCCCAGGTCCTCTCTCTCTAGTCCATCCCACAGTTGTCTATTCCTGTGACAAGCCATCCACAATTGTCTATTTCTGTGCACCTGCTGGATATCATGCAGGCTTGACAGCCATAGGTCTTTCTTAAAGCTTATGATCTGGGGAGATAAGCACATAGCAGCAATGGCACTCTTGGTAGTGGACACATCAGGGTAGGCTTCCCAGAGAAGGCTCATGAGGGTTTGCAGGGTGTCCTTTCGTGAGCTGAGCCCTTCCTTGACCACCACTAGCTTCGACGTACTCCGGTCTGTTGTCTTCTTTTATATCAAGAGTCCCCTGCGTGTAGAGGAAGCTGGCCTGCAGGAGCTAATTCCTACCACCTGGTGGCCCCACCGCTCCAGCAGGGAGGTGGGCAGACCCCAAGTAGGGTGGGCAGTGGTCATGGTGAGGGCTGGCCCAGGTTACCAGAACCGCCTGGCAGTTAGCACATGATGCCTTTTGCCCAGCCCTGGTCCCTAGAGTCCTGGGGAATGAGGATGGAGCTTTTTTGTCTGAATTAAGACTGAGTAAGATCCCAGTAAACCCTGTTTTCCGTCCTCTGCCTCTACCTAGGGCAGAGAGAGTAAGGAGGTAAATGAAGAGACTGCTGAGGAGCGGCTACGGCGGCGAGCCTACGAGCGGGGCTGCCAAAGGCTGAAGAAACGCATTGAAGGTCTGCACCCTGCTTCAGCCACTGGGTAGGGGGTGGGGAATTTGTGTGTATGTGTTTGGGAGTACTTGGCAGTGACCCCATGCCTGGGTTGGACTGGGAGGACCCTGGTGGTGGAGGAGGCCTGACCCAAACGTATCCCTCTTCCATCCCTGGGAGCCTGAGAACTGTGTTCCCACTGCATTCCCAGTGGTGGAAGAACTACAGGTCCAGATCCTGAAGCTGCTATTGGACAATAAAGATGACAATGGGGTGAGTGACTCCAAGACCCCTGTGTGGGTCTCTGATGGGGAGGGGTACTTTATTGGGACCCAAACCCAGATGACAGGGGCTGGCTCGTGGGAAGTTACAGCATTGAGCTCTTTCAGTCTGGGCCAGCATTCTCAGCTTATTTTAGCCTTTTTCCCCTTTCCTTAAAGGGTGAAGCTTCTAGATACATCTTCCTGACCAAGTTCCGAAAGTTTCTGCAGGAGAATGCCAGTGGCCGTGGGGTAGGTGTCCTCCAGGGCAGCCCTCAGTGGACTGCTGGCTGGTTATGTTGTAGGGGCTGCACCCTGGACTTCTGGCACCCCTCAGCCTGCTGTATCTGTGCCTTATCCTGCTCTGTTCTCTGCCACCTTTCCCTCCTGGGATCCTGAGCAAGGATCTTGGACAAGAAATGGTCTGGGCTGTGGGCTAGCACTAATGTTTTGGGTCCTCTGCTGACAGAACATGCCTATGCTCTGCCCCCCCGAATACATGGTCTGCTTTTTGCACCGGCTCATCTCTGCCCTCCGCTACTATTGGGATGAATACAAGGCCTCCAACCCCCATGCTTCCTTCAGTGAGGGTAAGTAAAACCTGGCCCCAGGTCAGAAACACTAGAAAGAGTTAATACTCGTGTTAATGTGAAATGCTGAACTGGATGTAGGAGGCTGGTGGGAGTTGCCCCAGCTTCCTGCCCGTTTGATTCCTTCCCTACCTAAGGCTTCTCCACTTGGGGCTTCAAGGGCTCTGTGTTTCAGGACCATTGAGCCCATGTTTTTCTTACTATCCCTATAGGCTCCTGCTAGGTCTCAGTACTAGCCTACCCAGCTCCTTGTAGTCCTTTGTAGGGATACCTTTAGTGGGTTCAGGGGGACCCTGTGTTTGGGTTGTAGTTTCTCCAGGGGAAAGTGGAAAATTTACCCACACTGAGTTGGGGATATCTCATAAGTTTGGGGTGGGATCCTCTCTGCTTCTGAGTGGCTGGCTATGCTAGACCAGAGTAGAAGGGAGTGTCATCCTACTAAGTCCTGATTGTTGTCCCGGCCTCCCCAATTCCTTGTAGAAGCTTACATCCCACCCCAGATCTTCTATAATGGCAAGGTGGACTACTTTGACCTGCAACGCCTTGGGGGCCTCCTGTCACATCTTCGAAAGACCCTCAAAGGTACGTGCAGTTTCTTGGGCAGTGAACAATCCCATCTAGCCTGGTAGGGCTCTGCTGTGGGTGCTGACCTCCCCTATTCCCACCAGAGGGCGCCCGAGTCTCTCCACACACTCAGGGAGCTGCTGATCTGTCATGCCCCTGATCTTGAGTCTGGTACCCACTCCACTGGAAGGTTGGCAGTGCACTAACGAAGCAGAGGAGAGGTGTACTGATGGGACCATGGGATTTTAGCAAGGTAGGGCTGTTCAGGTGCTACCTGAGCTGCCTTCAGGGATGGGCACAGATTGCTCCAGTGCTGAGGGCTGAGGTGTAGGGTACACAGGACAAAGAGTTAGAAATAGCTCAGTGTAGCCAGGATACAAACAGCAGCTGGTGTGCTGGGGAGTAAAATGTGAAGTAGGGAATGGTGAGAAATGAGACAAATGTGAGGGCCTTGGGTGCAAAGCAGGTGTGGACCCATTCCAGGGGCAGCTTTGGAAGGCTTGGACAAGGCAGGGAGTAAGATTGGGGGCTTTGTTGTAAGAATCTCCCTCTGCCTGCTATGGTATGGAGGACAGAGTGTGGGAATTGAGAAAGATGTCAGGGAGGTCAGTTGTCCAGGCAGTGGAGGAAGAGGAGAAAGGCATAAGTGAAAGGAAAAAGTAAATGGTGATCCCAGTCCTGCCAGAGTTTGGGTCACTAGGGAATTATCATGGAAAAGGACTGCAGGATGACAAGTTTTGTGTTAGAGATGCTCAAGGAGCAAGGCATGGGTTGGTTCTGTTAGCTGTTGGCATAGAGATGAGGAGGAGCCTGGGATGAGGCTTGGCACCCTGGGAAGTGTGCAAAGTAGGGCAGAGGCATAAGTAGCCTGGGACCTACTTTTTTTTTTTTTTTTGGTACTGAACCCAGTGTGCTTAACCACTGAGCCACATCCCCAGTCCTTTTTATATTTTATTTAGAGACAGGGTCTCACTGAGTTGCTTAGGGCTTTGCTGAGATGCTGAGACTGGCTTTGAACTCAAGATCCTCCTGCCTCAGCCTCCTAAGCCACTGAGATTACAGGATTGCACCACCACATCCTACTTTTGTTTATGGGACAATCAGTGTAGGAGAGGCCCTGGAGAGCATGATATCACAGGAAACACATGGGGACCAACAGGAGGGTGTGATGGGGAGTGCCTCCTGCCACTGATTACTGTGAGATGAGGAGCCCTTGGGGTGCAGAGAAGCCTGGGTTTCTCTTGGCAAAGGGCAGGCATAATAGGATCCTGCAAGGCCTCCTTCCCAGCTTGCCAGTGTTTTCACTATCCTGGACTGTTCTGCCCATGGCCCCTCATCTTACCCCTGGCCTGAGAACCCTCCTGTCCTGACATTCCTTCCAGATGACCTTGCTTCCAAAGCCAACATTGTGATTGACCCACTGGAACTCCAGGCAGCCACTATGGATGACCTGGACGAGGATGATGAGGCAACCCCAGCTGGGACCCAGGTGTGGCAGTAGGGGGCTTTTGCTTTATCATCTATGTGGGGATGTCATACCAGGCTGCTTCTCCGCCATGAAAGGGTCTTCTTACCAGGCAGGTTCCGTTGCTGTGGGTGGAGGCATGAACTTTTCATTCCCATTCACTACCCCCAAGAATCAAGGAAGCTGTAAGTGGGCCTTGGTCCTGGGGGGCTGAGTAGCCTCTGGCCTCCTCTCTCTACCGCAGCGCCCCATGCAGGCCCTGGCCATGGGGGGAGCACTGCCCTTGCCCCGGCCTGGCTGGCTCAGTTCTCCAACCCTGGGCCGAGCCAACCGCTTCCTCAGCACAGCAGCTGTGAGCCTCATGACCCCACGGCGGCCTCTGAGCACCTTGGAGAAAGTGAAGGTCCGCACGCTGAGTGTGGAGCAGAGGACCCGTGAGGACAGTAGGTGTTGTGTGGGGCCTGAGGGATCTTTCTGTTGTGTACAACTCCCCATCTTGGGCAAAGCCAAAGTATATCCCCATCCCCCACTCTGCCCTGTAATCTGGCAGCATCCTAAGGGCATAGGAAGAACAGTCTGAAGGCAAGAAATCAATGCTACAGAAATAGGTCCTGCCACTGTGGGGCCTTGCCCTGCACCTCATTTCCCTTTTATATTGTTACCCCTGCGGGTCGCTCCTTGGGTAAGGAAAGGGGAGAGAGGATCATCTCTCCTGCTGTAGGAGAAAACCAGGATGCCCCTGTCTTGACTCTGCCCTCCCCTGACTCCCTAGTTGAGGGCAGCCACTGGAATGAGGGCCTGCTGCTAGGACGGCCCCCTGAGGAACCTGAGCAGCCCCTCTCCGAGAACTCACTGCTGGAAGTTCTAGATGGTGCCGTCATGATGTATAATCTCAGCGTCCACCAGCAGCTAGGCAAGGTCTTGCACTGTTGGTCTATGCTTGTTGGGTGCAGGGTATTCTGCATGGCGTGGTCGGATATGTATGTGCGCATATGTCCATGTGCCAGCAGGGGTGCCTATTGCAAGACTGTGCACGTGAGCACATGGCACAGCAGGACTGATTTATGCCTTGCCTCTGCTGCTTAAGGCTGACTTAGTTTCCTTTTGTGGGAGACTGACCAGGCCTAAGGTTGGGAAGTTGATTGTACTGGAGTCTAAGCTGAGTCTGAATAAGCCTAAGGTACCCAATAGTCACCCTGGACATGTCCAATGTTCTAGATGGTTGGTGTATCTGATGATGTCAATGAATATGCGATGGCTCTGAGGGACACGGAGGACAAGCTTCGCCGGTGCCCTAGGCGGGTAAGGCCTAGGCAGGCAGGCAGGCAGGTCTTGGGATGGCAGGTAATTGCACATGGGCAGCTTGCTTACTTGGGGTTCCCAGGGCAGCCCACGGAGAAAATTTGGTTCTGGGGCTGCCCCTTCAGTTTTTATTCCACCCCTGCCCTGACCATACCAGGGCAATGAGAGGCTGGCAGCAGGGATGGCCATAACCTGAGCCCTATCAACCAGCTGCAGCCTGGTGCCAAGGTGCCCCTGCTCCACCCCCTTCCCCCCCACCATCCATTAAGTGCTGACATTCACTATGCTCCTCATCAATTATGGATCTACCCTGAGTGCTTCCTTGGCCACTTGCAGAGTCAGCAGGAAGCAGGCCTGGCTTCCCCCACTCTCAGAATCCCTCTGCTTGCCTAGCCTGGGTTGGGCTTCCCTGGTAGACCTCCTTACCCCCACTGTTAATAGAGCCCTGGGCCTGATCAGCTGCTTAAGCTGCAGTTTTGGCATTGAGTCTCTGCGGTGTTCCAACCAGGGCCTTACAGACCCCCAGCTGGGCCTCAATTCCACATCCTGAGGGGACAACCATGGCCTTGTTCTGGACTTGCTTAGGGTCACCAGCCAGTCAGTGGCAGAGGAGTTTTGAAAGTGAAATCCAACCCCTTACTTACTCCTGGCACTAGGAGGCTATGTCCTGATGGTCTTCCTTTCTTCCTGGGTGGCAGAGGAAGGATATCCTTGCAGAGTTGACCAAGAGCCAGAAAGTTTTCTCAGAAAAGCTGGACCACCTGAGCCGCCGTCTTGCTTGGGTCCATGCTACCGTCTATTCCCAGGTGAGTAGGCATGGCCTTAGCAACTGACTTCTTCCCAACCTCACTATCTGGCTATGGGTTGGGCAAGGTTATGCCAGACCCTTCAGGCTCTCTGCCTTTTTGGGCCCTGGGACACACGAGTCCCTTTAGAATCCCTCCTCCCACCCCATGCCATTTCCCCTGTGCCTCTCATGCCCTGAGGGACCATTTCTGACCGCCAAAATGTTCATGAATCCTTTTGGGAGACAAGTTCTGTCTCTACATGCCTTTCTTTTTTTCCTTGTCCTTCCTCAGTCCTGGACAACGCCTTCTCTCCTAGCACATTAGGGCTCTGTGGTCCTCCCTGAGTCTTCCCTTCTTCACTTGTCATCCACAAGGCTGCTGGCCTGCTCATTTTCCTTCACTTGCTTATTCATTTAATAACATAAATCCAAATGCTAGAGTATGCCAGATGCCATCTTTGACGATGAGTACACACAGCAACTAATCAGAAAGATGAGCCTCTGCTCTTCCAGATACTGGACCTGGTGGGTTACTTAAAGGGACTCTGCACTCCTACTGGGACTGAAGTTTGACTCCAGCCCCAATCCCAATCCTTCCCATTTGTTTCTTTTTGCATCTGTACTTTCCCTCCCACCAGTAGGATATGTGTGTGCACATGTGTCCACATGCCGGGCTGTCCCCTAGGCGTGACCCTGCTCAAGAAGTAGGCAATCAAGGCTTCTGGTGTCCCCATCTCCACTGTGCCATCTGTGCTTTGGTATTTCTCCTAGTGGCATCTTCCCCAAATCTAAACCACTTCCATCTCTTGTTCCTTCCTCTTATTGCGGAAGGTAACTTTTGCCTTCAGCCCCATGAAGGTGATCAGGTCAGGGAAACTTCCTTTTTTTCCCCACCACTAGGATTTCATACCTGCCTACTTCCCTAGACAATATGGCCATCCTCTCCCACACTGTCTTCTCAGGACACTTTCTTTCTTTTTCTTTTTTTTTTTTTTTTTTAGTTATAGATGGACACAATATCTTTATTTTTATTTATTTATTTATTTCTATGTGGTGCTGAGGATCGAACCTAGGGCTTCACGTGTGCAAGGCAATCAGTCTACAACTGAGCAACAACCCCAGCCCCTCAGGACACTTTCTTTCTTCCCTCTCCACCAACATTGTTTTTATAACTGTAGTAAAATATACATGACATAAAACTTATCTTTAGCTGGGCACAGTGGTACATACCTGTAGTCCCACCTAACCTTCTGGATAGGTAGATTGCTTGAGTCCACAAGTTAGAGACCAGCCTGAGAAATGTAGTGAGACCCCATCTGAAAAAAATTTATAAAATTTATAATCTTTTTTTCTTTTCAGTGCTGGGGGTGGAACCTGGGGCCTTGCTACTGCTGGGCAAGCTCTCTACTACTGAGCCACACCTCAGCCCACATCTTTTTTTTTTTTTTAATATTTATTTTTTAGTTTTAGGTGGACATAATATCTTTATTTTATTTTTATGTGGTGTTGAGGATCGAACCCAACACATGTCAGGCAAGCGCGCTACCACTTGAGCCACATCCCCAGCCCCATCAGCCCACATCTTGAAGTTATTTTTTTTAATATTTATTTTTTACTTGTAGTTGGACACAATACCTTTATTTTATTTATTTACTTTTATGTGGTGCTGAGGATCAAACCCAGGGCCTTGCATGTGCTAGGCGAGCGCTCTACTGCTGAGCTACAACCCCACCCCTTAATTTATTTTTAATTGTTAAGTATACTCACATTGTTGTACCAATCTCCAGAGCTCTTTTCATCTTGCAAAACTGACACACCTATTAAATAATAACTCCCCATACCTCTTTCCTCTCAGCCCTAGTAATCACCATTCTACTTTTTATCTCTGAATTTGATTATTCTTAAGTATCACATAGGAGTAGAGTCATACAGTATTTGTCTTTTTGCAGCTGGCTTATTTTACTTAGCCTGATGTCCTCAGGGTTCATCCATATTGTAGCTGGTGTTAGAATTTCCTTCCTTTTTTAAGACAGAATGGTATTCCATTGTATGTATATATCACATTTTGTTTATCCATTCATATTTAATCATAGACTCTTAGGTTGCTTCCACAGTTTAGCTATTATGAATAATGCTGCTGTGAAAGTTGGTATACAAATACCCCTTCAAAAACCTGTTTCCAGTTATCTTGGGTATATACCCAGAAGTAGGTATATACTGGGTTATACGGTAAGTCTATTTTTATTTTTATGAGGAGCTGTCATGCTATTTTCCATAGAAGCTGCGCCATTTTACATCCCCACTGACAGTACACAAGGGTTCCAATTTTGCCTCTTGCCCGAGAACACTTTTTTTTCATGGTAGCTCTACTAATGAGTGTGAGGTAGTAACTCATTCTAATTTGGATTTGCATCTCTCTAATGACTGGTGATGATGAATACTTTTTCATGAGCATAATGTACATCTACATTATCTTCCAAGGAGATTTATCTGTTCTTGTCCTTTGCTCATTTTTTAAAAATTATTTATTTATTTATTTAGTTAGTTAGTTTTAGGTGAACATAATATCTTTATTTTTATGTGGTGTTGAGAATTGAACCCAGTGCCTCATGCATGCTAGGCGAGCGTGCTACCACTTGAGCCACATCCCCAGCCCCTTTGCTCATTTTTGAATTTTTGTTATTGTTGAGTTGTAGGACTTTCTGTATATTCTTTTATCTTTTTTTTTGTTTTGTTTTTGTATTGGAGATTGAACCCAGGTTTGTTTAATCACTGAGCCACATCCTCAGCCCTTTTTTTTTCCCCCTATGTTGCTAAGTGCAGTAGGGCCTCGCTAAGTTGCTGAGGTTGGTCTCGAACCTGTGATCCTCCTGCCCCAGCCTCCAAGTCATAGGTATGTTCCACTATGCCTTACTCTGTATGTTCTTGTTATTGACCCCTCACCAGATATATAGTTCACAAGTATTTCTTCCCATTCTGTCGGTTGTCTTTTCACTCTATTGATTGTATCTTTTGATACAAATGTTTAGTTTTTATACAATCCATTTTATCTATTTTTTTTCTGTTTGTTGCCCGTGCCTTTGGTATCATATCCAAGAAATCTTTGCCAAATACAATGCCATGAAGCTTTTTCTCTGTGTTTTCTTTTAAGAGTTTTGTGGGTTTGAGTCTTATGTTTACATTTTTTATCCATTTGGGTTAATTTTATGGTATAAAACAAGTGTTCAGTTTTATTCTTTTCCATGTGACTATCCATTGTTCCTAGTGCCATTGGTTGAAAAGACTGGCCTTTTTCCATTAAATGGTCTATGCCAGCACCACACTGGTTTGATTACTATGGTTTTGCCATACATTTTGAAATCAGAAAGTATGAGACCTGCACAACTTTGTTCTTTTTCTTGAGTATTTTGGCAACTCAAGGTCCTTGAAATTCCATATGAATTTCTATTTCTAAAAAAAATAATAGTAGGGATTTTAATAGGAATTGCATTGAATTGGTAGATTCCTTTGGGCAGTGTTGACATCTTAACATATTAAGCTAATAGTTCATGAACACAGGATGTTTTTCTACTTATTTGGAATTTTTTTGGGGTGGTATCAAGGATTGAATCCAGGGTGCTTAACCACTGAGCCACATCTCCTCTTTTGTATTTTATTTAGGGACAGGGTCTCACTAAGTTGCCCAGGATGGCCTCCATCTTGTGATCTTCCCACCTCAGCCTCGTTGCTGGGATTACAGATGTGTGCCACCACACCTGGCAGAATCTTTAATTTCTTTCAGCAGCAACATTTTATAGTTTTTGTAGAACTTCAAGTCTTTTGCCTTCTTCAAGTTGTTTATTCCTGTTTTTATAAATGGAATTGTTTTCTTGGTTTCCTTTGTTCATTGTTAATAAGGAAACAATTGATTTTTGTGTGTTGATTTTGCATCCTGCAACTTTTCAGAATTTGTTTATTAATTTTTTTTTTTTTTTTTGGTACCAGGGTTGAACTCAGGGATACTCAACACTGAGCCACACTCCCAGCCCTTTTCTCATATTTTTATTTAGAGACAGGGTCTCACTGAGTTGCTAAGTGCCTCGCTGTTGCTGAGGCTGGCTTTGAACTCACAATCCTCCTGACTCAGCCTCCCGAGCCACTCGGATTATAGGTGTACACCACCGCACCTGGCTCTTGTTTATTAATTCTACCAGGTGTATGTATGTGTAAAATCATTAGGATTTTATACATGTAAAATAATTTTACCACTTTCTTTCCAATTTGTATGCCTTTTATTTCTTTTCTTGCCTAATTTATTCTGGCTAAGATTACAGTACTTTGTTGAATAGAAGTGACAAAAGTGGCAACCCTGTCTTTTTCTTGGTCTTAGAGAGGGACTGATGCCAGGCTCACTATTGAGTGTGCTGGCAGATGTAGGCTTTTCATACAGAGTCTTTATTATGTTGAGCTGTCTTCTTTACCTTTGCATCTTTAGACTCACTCATCTGTAATTTTGAGAAGTTCCTTTCATTATTAAAGGTCCTTGGCCCTGTACCTACCTTCAATCCCCTCTCTTCTTTCTCTGTCTTAGTCACCTTATCTTCCCCCACCTCTTGGCCCAGCAGAGGCTCTTTGACTCCTCTGATATAGTCCTGCCAAGTTCTCCCCCAACCTTGCTGGCAATTTCTTTCACCATTGATTAGACCCTTAGGTATATTATTGCCATTGTCATCCTCACCTCAGATTCCATCTTCCCTGGCCATCTGTGGTAGCAAGATGCCTACTGCCCTGAGTGGGCCCAGACGCATACCTCTGACTCCTTGATTTTATCTCCTTGGGTTGTTGGGTTTTGGAGCACCTCAGAGAGCTGGTATCAAGTGCAGATACTGTAGTTCCACTCTAAGAGGTGTATTTGCTATGGTCTGAGCTGGGGCTGGGGGCCTCATTCTGGCCTATGTCCCTTTCTATGATCCTAACACAGACTTATGGGAGCCACATTGTGGGGAACAGTGCCCTCAGCAGGTTTCATCTCTTTTCTGTGGCCACTCTTCCACTAGCAGTTATGTTGCTCCCCACTTTTTCTTCTTTGATCTCCAAACCAAAATTTACTTGCCTCTTTACATAATTTTTTTCGGGACACCACCAGGTGCCTCACGCTCCTTTTCTCCTAAACCACACTCCCCTGTGCTCTGCACCAGACCTGCTTCTCCTCTAGTACTTTTGACCTCCATGGAGGCTCTACTACCACCAGATGTGTGGGTCCCCTTCTTGGTGTGACATGTCCTTTGCTTCCGTATTTTATTAGTGCATTCCCCTTGTCATGCAGTCATTTTCTCTACCATTTTGGACCTGGGCGAGACTGGTATCCTCATTAAGCTGTCCCCACTTGTCCCTACAGCCCCTTTGTGCACTGGGCAGTGCTTCAACTCAGACTTGGTCATATCATCCTCTAGCAAACCAGAATTCCTGTCAGGGTCATAGTGCTGCACTCTCCAGTTCGGATGCTTTCCTCTTGCCAACTGAGGACTTGATCACCCCTGCTTGAGCTGCTGCTCACATTTCTGCAGTCCAGCTCTCAGTTCTGATGTCATTGTCCTAGTGAGGCATTACCAATTCCCAGACCAGATAATGTATCCAGGACCCTTCCAGTAAAAAACCTAACACCCTGTGTGCCTCCTGCAGGAGAAAATGCTAGACATTTACTGGCTACTGCGTGTCTGCCTACGGACCATTGAGCATGGTGATCGCACAGGTTCCCTCTTTGCCTTCATGCCTGAGTTCTACCTGAGTGTGGCCATCAACAGCTACAGTGCTCTCAAGAATTATTTTGGTCCTGTGCACAGCATGGAGGAGCTCCCAGGTGATGGGACCATTCAGGCTGGGAGGGGATAGAAAGGGGCCTTTAGTGTGACTCTCAGGAGCCCTGATCTAAGCCATATGTGGCCTTGCAGCATACATCCACAGGACAGAGGGAAGGTTGGTTCTATCCCATGGTCCTCCCTGTATCAAGTTCACATTTACACTATGCCTTGGAACCTGCTTCTCCCTGCTACTGGAGGGAAAATAGATGGTGCAGTGGGACCCCTGGTTTCTTCTTCCTGATGCTATTGAGCAGCCTTGTGGCCCCTCACCCAAGCACCCTGACGCTAGTCACAGTATGTGGCAGTGGGTCAAGGACAGACTATTTATCTTTGTAAATTATAGCAGGAGGTGGGGCCCTGCTATAGCCACAGAGGATCCTGTGCTTCTTCAAGATACTGATTCTAGGCTGGGCCTGGCATTTGGTTTCTGGATCAGGCTGTGTGAGCTGCCAGGCCCCAACCCTGCCCTGCCCAGGCCTTGGTGCAGGCTTTATCTTCAAAGACACAATTGTGAGTGTCTAGTGACTTTGATTGCTGAGTCAACAAATGTGTGTGTTAAAATGAGTTTGAGTCCAGTTTAGGCCCTCCCCCCACAGTGAGTCTGTGCCTTACCTTCCCCAACTGCTAGTTTGAGTGCTCTACCCAATGTCCCCAGGTGCCAACCCAGGTCCAGATTGGCTTTTGGAGCTAGCTCTGGAGCCTACTACCCAAGCCCACCCACTCTGCCAAGGGACATGTCTGTTCCCGGAGCCCCTGCTCCCAGCCAGTGGTTTTCTCTGCCCACCCTTGCAGGCTATGAAGAGACCCTGACTCGCCTGGCTGCCATCCTTGCCAAACACTTTGCTGACACACGCATAGTAGGCACTGGTGAGGTGCCCTGCAGAGGGCCCAGGGAGGTGGGGATGGGATGGCACCTCTGGTGGGCTGTTTTCTGTGTATATTGTGGCATGGGGATAGGGCTTATGCTGGGCACCTGCTAAGGCATGGCCTGTTGTGGCAGACATTCGAGACTCACTGATGCAGGCCCTGGCCAGCTACGTGTGCTACCCACACTCTCTGCGGGCTGTGGAAAGAATCCCTGAGGATCAGTGAGTAGGGGGTTGGGGAATCACACCCTGTCCTGCACAGCACTTTTCCCCGACTCACCATGTGTCTGCCACCCCTCACCCTTACAGGCGTATCGCCATGGTGAGGAATCTCCTGGCACCCTATGAGCAGCGGCCCTGGGCCCAGACCAACTGGATCCTAGTGCGGCTCTGGAGGGTAAGCATGACCTTAGGGGGGCTGCTGAGGCTGCCTTTGGGGGGAAGGTAGCTCTTTCCCACTGACCTCAGCTGGCCCCACCCCCAGGGCTGTGGGTTCGGGTACCGCTATACACGGCTGCCACACCTGCTGAAAACCAAGCCAGAGGATGCCAATTTGCCCAGCCTCCAGAGTAAGTATCCAGGTTGGGCATATTCTGCCTGGGAGCCTCCTGAGCAAAAAAGCTTGGATTGCCCATTGCTCTTGGATTCTTTCAGACTCTTCTGCTCCTACCAGCCCCACTTTTGGACTTGTGTTGGCTCCAAACTCCATTTGTCCCTTGGGGCTTACATTTTTCCTGCTTCTTCCCAGCTTAAGGATGCTCTGGGACTACTCCCCCTCACTCCACAGTTCCATTTGTACCCCTTGGGCCTGTTGCTTTGCAAGTGTCACAGTGAAAAGGTGCCATTTTTACCCAGGCTGCTGGAGTAGACACTCTGTCCCTTGCCCTCTATGCCAGCTCCTTGACCTCCAGGCTTGTCACAGCACTGTGTGCTTCTGCTCCTTCTTTGGTATCTGCTGGTGCCAGACAAAGGGCTTAGTTTAGGCCTTGCATCCCTGAGGCAAGATATGCATAGGCTGGAGATTGGCCAGAGCCCCAAGGGATGATCATGGGGCTTCCTGGAGTAAGAGGCGTTTGGTTGGGAGCAGAGCCAGTGTGTGGTCTCTCTCCTGTGTCCTGCAGTCTCTTGAGCTAGAGGACCTTCATTAGACCTGGCCCAAGGCCTTAGTCTGACCAGCTTATACCCACTGTTCTCACCATGCCTATCTCCCATTGCAGCCTGTGCTTTGGTCTGAGAAATGACCTCTGAGAGGCTGAATGCCTTAGGCAAAGTCACACAGCAAGTCCTTGCCAAATATCTCAGACCTGCCTCTAAGGCAGAACTGAGCTGCAAGTGGAGAATAGCAAGGGGGCCAGATCTGTTCTGTGGCTGAAGGAACTATTGATTTGCATCTAGAGGAGTGGTGAGATATGCTGAGACAGCTGCAGCTGAGAGCTCTAGTTACCACTGTCTGTCAGCCCAGACTTGGCACCCACCACCTCAGACACATGTCAAGGAGAGGCCAAGGGCAGCAGAGGAAAGTAGAGGACAGCAGGGCCCAGAGTAGATTCTTGGAGAATCTGGCCTCAATGCTAGTGGGGAAAAGTCTAAGTTGCTCTATGTCTGGCCCTGTCTGATGGGCATGTGACTCAGAACTTGCTGGGGTTAGGCTGCAGCTGTATAATTGCCCTAGGCCTAGGGTGGATGATGTGGTATGGGGCTGGACACACTTGCAGCTTTTGGTTTGCCCCAGAGAGGGAGGGGACAGTTGAGCTCTAATCCTCAGGTAGTTCTGTACCCTGACCTGCATGTTTCCCAGGAGCCATCTTTCTGTTCTTATACCAGTGGGTGAGGACAAAGGCAAACAGGCAGGAATACTGTCCTGAAGTCCTTGATAATGTGCCTTCCCATCCGCTTGCAGAACCCTGCCCCTCTACCCTGCTGCAGCAGCACATGGCAGACCTGCTGCGGCAGGGTTCTGATGTGGCACCCAGCTTCCTCAACAGCGTCCTCAACCAACTCAACTGGGCTTTCTCTGAGTTCATTGGCATGATCCAGGAGGTAGGCCATGGTGGGGCCCTGTGGGCCAGGGTGGTAAAGGGACCAAGGTGTGGACCTGGCTTGTAGCCAGGCCTCTGACTGCTGCTTGCCTACCTGTTGGCTGCACAGATTCAGCAGGCTGCTGAACGCCTGGAACGAAACTTTGTGGACAGCAGACAGCTCAAGGTATGTGCCACCTGCTTTGACCTCTCAGTCAGCCTGCTGCGTGTCTTGGAAATGACCATCACACTGGTGCCTGAGATATTCCTTGATTGGGCCCGGCCTACCTCTGAGATGCTGCTGCGGCGTCTTGCACAGGTGTGTCCATCTAGGGCAAGGAGGGTAGGATCCTGGGGATACCCCACTGGTGAGCTTGTCCATGTACCAACAGGCTCCTGCCCCCACAGCTGCTGAATCAGGTGCTGAACCGTGTGACAGCTGAGAGGAACTTGTTTGACCGTGTGGTCACCCTACGACTACCTGGTAAGAACCTAGATGCCCTGCACCCCTGTACAATAGGCCTTGAGTCCTCTGCCAGGAGCATGATGCCCGATTCTCTATTCTGCACCATGACAGCCAGGCTCAGCACCCCGAACCCAGCTTGGCCCTTCTGTAGAGTGGACAGAGAGAAGGGTTGATAGCATCAGTCAGGCCTGGAGCCTCTGCCACAGGAGCATGAGGGAGGTTCATTTTCTTCCTTCCCTCCCCTTAGGCCTAGAAAGTGTGGACCACTACCCTATCCTTGTGGCAGTGACAGGCATCCTGGTACAGCTCCTGGTGCGTGGTCAAGCCTCAGAGTAAGTGTTGGAGACTATGGGCTCCCATGGGAGCTGGGCAGGACCTCCCTGTACCCCAGTTTCCTTATCTTATAAATGGGCCTCACTATCAGGTTTTAAGGTAGAGGGAAGGTGGTGAGATGTAAACTGCTTAAGTAGGTGACAGTGGCAGCTGCTCTGGGTTGAAGAATCAAGGACTCAAGCAGGACAAAGTGCCCTGGCTTGTGGCCATTCCTCTGGTAGCAGTGGGGGTATAGGGCAGACCATCCTTTGATGGCCAAGGCAACACTGCTAGATCAAGAGCCAAGCACATTACAATGCTGCCTGTCAGTGAAGGCCTCAATGAGCATGGATTACCTTTATTACAAAATTCCATGAACAGCAGGGTCCAAGACAGCCATGGGGACTCGTAGCTCAGCCCCCACACCTGAGGGGCTCCCAGAACCCCTTCCCTGCCTCTCTGCAGTGGGAGTGGTGAGGTGCACATGAAGCCAGGGCACCGCCTCAAACCATTAGGCTGAGAACAGTGCCAGCCTTTAAAAGGCTCCTGCCCTCAGGGACATCAAGTTCCATCTGGGCCCTCTCAGCTTGCCAGGCTTTTTACTGCTGTGCCGTGAGGCCATGGAATGAACTTTGCCTTGAAATGACTGATGGAGAAAGCAGGGCCACTGTGGCTGGGGCTCAGGCCAGGTCCCCAGGGGTTCTCCTTCCTAATGCCTGCCCACCAGACTGTGCATGCAGTTGTGAAGCTTTCAGAAGGTTGGCTGCTGGTAGTTGGGGGAGTGCTGTGTCATCAGAGGGAGGATGTTTCTTCCTTTCTCCAGGAACACGGGCTGGAGTTGAGCTCTCCATCATTTCCCCTGTGAGACCCCTGCCCCAGGTATGGGAAGGGGAAGGTGGTGTGCTTTGACTGTTCTGTATCACTCCTTCATATCTGCTTCAGCCACTGAAGGGGTTCCTAGGGCTCTAATGTAAGACCTTTTCCAGATGGACTTGGTCCCCCATCCTTAAGGGACATTGGGACAGTAGGAGGTCCCAGGAAAGGAAGACACTAGCAGGTTCTGCTGGGGTCTGGGGCCTTGGGGACCCATGCTAGGCAGAGCAGGAGGAAATTAAGAGACTCTGATTCTTCTATCTATGAATAGGGCCATTGTGGTTCAGGTAAGAACCACAAAGGAAGCTGGCGGACCAGGTACAGTGCTTCCCACTAACACCTGGCAGTTCTCAGTATGGTAGCAGGGAACAGAGCAAGCAGCAGGAGGGTCATGGCCTGAGTGGAGGGCACTGGGCAGCCTAGGTCATCATGAGACCTTCTGAGCCTGTGGAGCTAGCAGATTCAGAGCCAGCCATGAACCGTAGGCCCATGGTATTGCTCAGATCGAAGTCCTCAGCTACAGCCAGCTGCACACGCCCGTTGAGTCCTCTCCTGCCAGGCTCCAGGAAGACCACATGCTTGTGGACACTGGTCTTGCGGCTGGGTGCATCTGGTGGCGTGGCACTGAGCACTGAGGATTGTGCACTCAGCTCCTGGAGTGAACTGGGTGCCCGGGGCCAGCGGCGACTTCGACAGGCTTGGTGACAGCAGCGGAAGCAACCGTGGCAGGGTGGTGCAAACAAGTATAGCAGCACCAGTACCAGGCCCACTGCGCAGCCCAGTAGTGTGGTGAAGCCTGTGTTGAAAGCCTCAGGCTCCAGGCGTGGGAAGTGCACACTCACATTGTACTCAAGTGTCTGGTTGTGGTGCAGGTGGGGCCCAGTGGCCAGGCACACGAAGACACCAGCATGTTGCTCCTGCACTTTGCCTATAGCTAAGCTGCCATCCGCCAGCACTGCAATGCTGCCATCTCGGGATCCTGGTGCTACAAGCAGTTCGTGCTTAGGTGAAACCCAAGCAATGTGCACAGCTGGGGCGCTGGTGTTGCAGTAAAGCCTCAGGGACCGACCCACCTGTGCATGCAGCTGCTCTTCAGGCTGCTCTAGGCTGGTAGCTGGGGCAGCTGAGCAGTTCTCAAAGATACGGCTGTGCTCAAAGAAGCGCACGCGGGATGTGGGTACCTTAAAGGCCAGGCACGTGTACTCACGCGCAAAGTCTCGCACCGCACTTAGGCCCCGCTGGTGCCAGCGCTGCAGCAGGTGGTAGAGTCGGCAGTTGCAGGGCAACGGGTTATTATGCAAGTAGAGGCCATTCTTGAGGAAGACTGGCAGTGCGGCCAGCTCAGGGACAGAGACACGTCCCAGCCGGTTGGAGGAGAGGTCCAGGGTGCGCAGGTGGATCGCACCCAGACCGTGCAAGTGGTTGAAAGAGAAGGTCATGAGTTCGTTGCAGCCCAGATAGAGGCGGCTGAGTGCACTCAGGCTGTGGAAGGCATGCTCATCCAAGTGTGCTAGGTGGTTATTGAACAGAAACAGCATCTCCAGTGCCTCAAGTCCATCAAGGTCGTGGGGGCCAAGTGCCCGCAATGCATTAGATGATAGGTCAAGGAGTTTTAGGCCGCTGGCATTATTGAAGACTCCGTGACCCAACGCATCCAGTTCATTGTGGCCTAGGCGCAGGGCGCGCAGCCGGGAGAGGGGTGCCAGCCAACCGGGGCGCAGGCGCTGGAGTGCGTTGTGGCTCAGGTCGAGTTCAGCAGCAGCTGCAGGTAACGTGGCTGGCACGTCCTGCAACCCCAGGCCTGCGCAGATCAGCAGATCAGCAGCACAGACACATTTGCTGGGGCAGTTGTGGGGCACAGCGGGCAGAAAGCCCTCAGGGTCTCGGGTGCCTAACGTGGCGACCGGCAGCATGCACAGCAGGGCACCCAGCAGCCCTAGCCAGGCCATGACGGCGACCATCAAGAATGAGAGCAGCCTTGTGCGGGTCACAGATCCAGGACTCACCCACTCTTGTTCTGGCCCAACAAGCGTGGTGCCGGATGGTCCACGGCCGAGGAGGCACAATGCTGGCTTTACTCAGCTCAGATGGACGTTGCAGTCAGCTCTGTCTCCCCTTGCTTTCTCCCAGCACTTTCCTGGTCGACTTCTAAATAGTCGCTTACAGAAGCCGGCCCAGGGGGCGGGGCATCGGGCTTCTATTGGCTCCCGCTGCAAGGGGCGGGGAAATCACATCCCCTGCCGCTTAAGAACCCCTATGGCCACCAGGGGGGGTATGAATTCACTTCCAATACCCAGCCTTCCCTTAGCCAACAAACCAGAAGAGTAAAAGGGGCAGCCAGGGGAGAATGGTAAACTGCTCCTAATGTTCTTTATTTGAAGGATTATTGTACCATGGGGCAGGTGGACTTTAGGTGTTTTATGGTAGCCCACAAAACTGGTACCTGGGCTGCATGTGATTTCACTGAGACCCCCCAGGACTTAGAAGGTTGCGGCTGGGAGGTGGAAATAAAGGTATTAATGCAATTAGGTTTGGATGGTCACACAACCCCAGGAGCCCCCCAGTGTTCTGATTACACTATATACTCTTCCCTACCTAGGACAGAGAGAGCCACATCAGTGCTTTTGGCTGACCCCTGCTTCCAGCTCCGATCCATATGCTATCTTCTGGGGCAGCCAGAGCCCCCAGCACCTGGCACTGTCCTGCCTGCCCCAGACCGGAAGCGCTTCTCCCTGCAGAGCTGTAAGTGGGCCAGGGGTGGTTAAGGGAAAAAAGATCTGGGACTGTCTGAAGTCAGGACCTCCAAGAACAGCAAATCCCCAGCCTGGGATTATTCAAAAGGCACCAGATTCTAGGCTACATCTGGCCTGACACACCTACCACTATCCCAGATACTGATTATATCAATGCTGAGGAGCTGGCACAAGTGGAGCAGATGCTGACACATCTGACCTTTGCATCTGCCCAGGCAGCAGCTGCATCCCTGGTGAGTGGGACCACAGCACATCCCATGCTACTTGAATACATGTGTGCACACCAATATAGGCATAGCATATCCAACTACCCTTCACTTCCCTCCCTGCAGCCCACCAGTGAGGAAGATCTCTGCCCAATCTGTTATGCCCACCCCATCTCTGCTGTGTTCCAGCCCTGTGGACACAAGTCCTGCAAGTAAGTGGGGCCCCATGGGCTTTGGGAAGGGGCAGTAGGAACATCCAAGACAGTCTTTATCCCCTCCCCGTTGCAGAGCCTGCATCAACCAGCACCTGATGAACAACAAGGATTGCTTCTTCTGCAAAGCCACCATCGTGTCTGTAGAGGACTGGGACAAGGCAGCTAATACAAGCACCACCTCCTCAGCTGCCTAGGCCTGGCAAACCTCCACCTGCAAACCCAGACCCAGGCAGAGACCTATTTATGAGCTTCCCTTGCCCTGTTCCCTATCACCCCCACCACATCCAACCTCTTTGTCTGTGTGTAGCCCCATTGGTAGGAGCCTGGCCGTGGCCCTAATAATGTCTGGGTTTGACTTTCAATCAGGGCCACAGTAAACATTAAATTATTATTCCATACAGCCCTGGCCTGGCCCTTTTTAAGGGAGTGGGGTTTGTGGGGTGTGGCCCAGCAGGGATTCTGCTACTTTATGTCCAAGTGAGAAGGCAGGTGTTCAGCAGCTTCATCCTCATCCAATCCTCCCCAGACAAATAGCACCAAGTCCAGGGCCTTTTGTGTCAAGCCAGTGCTCCTCTTGCTGATGGGGAAATACGGGTTCAGCCAGCCCCAGGCATCCCCTCACATAATGATACGAGGCTCTGGCACTGATTCACCAATAGACTTGTGGGGCAGCACACTGGCTCCGTTGAGGTAGAGCTCGTCGTTAACTATAACATCCTCGCCCAGCACAGTTACGTTCTCCATACGCACCTGGGTGAGGGGGAATAAGACCTTGTCAGTGAGGCAGATGCATTTTCTGGCCCTCTCCCCATCTGGCCCAGCTCATTGGCTTACCCACTGGCCCACATGGCAGCGCCAGCCCACGATGCATGACTCAAGCCAGGAATGGGAACGTATGTGGGCATCCCGCAGCACTGTGCACCGCCGGATGCACACACCATCCTCCACCACCACACCAGGACCCAGGCTCACATTGGGACCAATGCTGCAGTTCTGGCCAATACGGGCACTTGGATCCTGAGAGCAATGGGGAAAATACAGTTGGGCCATTTGTCCCCTAGGGACTGAAGGGATTAATGATGGGCTGGACAAAGGCCTCACCACAAGAACATTGCCCACAATGCCAGGGCCTGAGCATAATCGCTCAGGTTGCTTCTGCCTCAGTGACTGAAGGAAGAGACACATGCCAGTGAGGAAATCCTTGGGCTGACCGATATCCATCCAGAAGCCTGTAGGGAGGGATGCATCAGGGGCTCAGCCCAGCCACAGACCACCCCCACCCATGACCTCTCTGCCTCACCCTGCAGCTCCATGGCATATAGCTGCCCCTCCTTGGCCATAATGGGGAAGACCTCCTTTTCAATGGACGTAGGCTGCAGCTGTGGGAGTGGGCAGCTTGTGAGCAGGGTCATGGTAGTAATGGCCTGTCCCACCCTAGCCCACCCAGCAGCTGTCTTCTACACACCTGGATGCGTTGCAGCACTGCAGGGCTCAGGATGTACATGCCTGCGTTGATCTTATTGGACACAAATACCTGTGGCTTCTCCACAAACCGGTGAATGCGGCCCGTGTCAGCCTCACATACCACCACACCGTACTTAGAAGGCTCCTCCACCTTGGTCACCTGAATACAGGGGGACTTAGGCCTAGTCCAGTGTTCCTAAACCTTTACACATATGCTGTCCCAAGTTTCAGGGATTCTGTCCCAGATACTTAGAAGATACTGCTTAGCTGTTCTCTTATAAGGAGAAAGATCAAAGGGTGGGGGGGCAAGGGAAGCTGGGCTGGGATGTTGCAGGGAATGTCAAAGGAGAAGGAAGACCTGGTCTCTTACCAGGATGGAGCCCTCCTGACCATGGTGCTGATGGAACTGCACCATGGCTTGGAAGGGGAAATCACAGATCACGTCGCTGTTGAGGACGAAGAAAGGGTCTGCAGTCTCAGAGAGCAGGTCACGGGCCAATGCCAGGGGCCCAGCTGGGGGAAGGGAGCAGATCACGGCCTTGCTGGGGATCTGAATCCCTGAATTCAGGCTCAGCAGGTACCACCCTCTTCTGGATGCAAACCCTCCCCAAGGAACCTTCTTGTATCCACTGACCTGTCCCCAAAGGCTCCTCTTCATGAGACATGGAGATTCGGATTCCCAGCTGGAAAGGAGAAGTCACCTCGTTAGGTTCTCCCTCCGGAGCAGGAAGGTGGACCAACGGAACCGGCTAAGAGTCCGTGCCTCACCCTCTGCTCCTGAGTCTTCATTTCTTTCTCCAGCACCTGCGACATGTAGCTCACAGCCAGGATCACGTGATCCACGCCTGCCTGTCGGACAGGATAAAGCCAGCGAACAGGCGGGCTCAGCCGGTAGGTACGGGCACCCCTGACCTTCAGTCGCTAGACGTCCCTCCGCCCAGGACAGACCCCGGGCCTTACCGCAGCAAGGGCCTCCACTTGATGCAGCAGGATGGGCTTATTGCAGAAGTCTACCAGCGGCTTCGGGGTACTCAGCGTTAGTGGCCTCAGCCGAGTTCCATAGCCGCCTACCAAGATCAGTGCCTTCATCTCGCCTGTGGGCGACGGGAGTCAATCCTAGGCTCCAAGGTGCCTGCACCCCGCCTGGCCAACACTGGCCACGAACTACACCCGCTATGTCCTGCCCCACGCCCTTCACCAGTCAGACTGACCAACTCTGGTTTCAATTTGTTCGCCTGGCCTAACCTGACGCCGGCACCCGGCCGCAAGAACACAAGTTACCTAGCGGGCGGTGGACGGCTGGCAGAGTACTCGGACGGCACTAGGCACGTGACCCCAGCGGGCCAATCAGCTGCTGTCTACGTGGCACGGCCGCCAGCGTCGGAGCGCTGGGCGCGGCACTACCAAAGACGTAGCCAATGAGAGCCTGAGTGCGCCAGGCTGCTATGGGGACCCGAAAGAGACTCGCGGGTCACCTGTCTATTGGCGGAACCGAATGCGGAACTGGCGCCAAGGGCGAGGCCTCACTCCCTACGGGAGCTAGATTGGCTGCAGGGTAGACGCTTGTGGCCACGTTTTGCTGTCCAGGGCCCCGCCCCCTGCGCTCCGACCCTGGGAGAAGGGGACTGAAGGAGCAGATCACGCGGCCGGAGGTCGTTGGGGGTGCTGGGCTGGGTGGATTCACCCTGGAGCTGCTAAGTTTTCAGAAAGATACGGACAAGCTACAATTTCTAGCGGCTTTATTTTGACATATACGACCTCAGACACAAGCGGGGTGGGCAGCGCTGGGTGTACAGAAAGGGGCGGGCTCGGCCCGGGCACCCCTCCCTTACACGCAAGGTCCAAGGAAATGCAACTGCGCGAGTCGTGGCCGGAGTCACCTGTAGTATCCAGGCGCAGGCCTCGGGTGGCGTGGACAGGTTTAGCTTCCAGGAAAAAGAAGAGCGGAGAGTGATTCCCAGAATGCGAAGTCTTACATGTCCCCGAGGAGCAAAGGAACCACGTCCTTCCCGGGGATCGCCATTTTCTTCATTAAAATATTTTTTAAATCGGCACAAACATAACCAAATTGTACAGCCGTAAAGTTAAAAGCAGTCTGCATCTAGGGAACGTGCACATGGCCAGGTGAGCGCGTGAGTAGCAGCTACTAAACTAACCCAGGCCTCTGGCCCTTGGTGGGAATCCCCACACCCATTGCACAGACCCAGAAAAGAGAGGGTGGGGTTCCTGGCAAGTTGCTACATTGGTCCCCTTCCTTTTTAAGCACCACCAGTCCCTTTCCACCCCAACCCTGGAGGCGGGGTCTGGCGTTGGCCCAGCCCAGCGAAAATAACAGAGAAGGGTGACCTGAGCACCCCAACCCATGATCCCCAGTTGCACTTTGGTCCTGATTTGGGGATGGGAAGGCAGGGCCTGGCAGCATTAGGACTCTCTAGCCTGGGCCAGGCAGAAGGAGCAGTGGCAGAAAATGTGCATGCACAAGCTTGCCACCACCCATCAAATAATGATTGGGTTTCCAGGTACCAAAAGTGCTGATAAGAAAGGCCCTGCCCTGGGGGAGAAGCAGCAAATTCTAGCCCTTCCACTATTTCTAGTGCCAGGAAAACACAATAAATGAGTACAGCCTCCTGTGCTGAGTAGTACCAGAACAGGGTGGCATCTCGTCCCCAGGCAGTGGCCCCAAATCCTTCTTCTTATCCTCCCCACTGCCAGGGAATATCAGCTACACTGACAATGACCTTTCCCTCTGGCTGAAACCACAGAATGGTACAGGAGAGAAGGTGGTTATTACCAGAGACAGGCAAATTTGTGCCTCCCAGCCCCAAGGAATGGGAACCTGCCCACCACTGGCACCAGGGTTGGAGGGCTTAGAAAGATAGGATCCATCAAGGACCCCATTTCAGAGACTACATCTCTAAAGGCCAGGAATCAGGTCATCAGTTACCAAGGCTTCTCACAAACACAGGCCAGCAGGCTTACCTTTAATGCCCAAATAGGAACATGTCAAAAGAGACAATGACAGTGGCCCTAAGCTTATAGGAAAGGGTGCTAACTAACCTTGGCAATGACTGAGTGTGGTGCCTGTCACCTGCTGGCCACCTTGTGTTAGAGGCAGCAAAACTACATGCCGTTAAAAGGTGGCAGCAAGAATGATTAAAACTATGTGAAAAGGCTACCCCTTGAGTGTTGAGGGCCACACTCCAGGCCCATAGGAAGGGTGCCAGGCCAGCAGGGAAATAACCCTAGTTCATTCTGGAACCAGGTTTAAAAAAAAAAAAAGCACCTGCTGAGGAAGGGCAAAGGGGCAAAAGCTCACCTCAGAAATGAGAGAGAGACTATTTTGCTGAGGAAAGTATGAAGGAAATCAATATACTAACAAGGCAACACCCCAAAGGAAGGCTCCCCACAGTATAGGGGCTGGCAGGTGGACAAATGGACAAACTGATGGACCCCAGGATTATTCAGACAAAGCTCTCAATAGCATAATCTGGGCACCTGCATGCACCCAGGGCCCAATGTCTCTAAGAGCAGACAAGCTTAAAATTCTCCCTCACAATGGGCTGCCTCCTTGAGCTTTGCCTGGGGAAGTGAGAGACCCTGAGCAGACCACAGCCCTTGAGTCCTGGGAGGAGCAGCCCATCCAGAGGCAGCACAGCTGCCCAAGCAAGAAGAGGAAGACTCCCACCCACAGTACAAGAACTGCAAATACTGTATGGTCCAGGGCCCCTACAGGCCCCATGGCCTACCAGAACACACTCTTCTCAGCAAACAGAGTGGTGCCCTTCAGTGAGACAGAAGGGGTTGGCCTCCTCAGGCAAGGGGATCTTGTTGAGAGAAGCTGGCTGGGGTTTTGGGCAGAGGAGCAGGTTTATGTGCTAGGTCCATGGAGAAACCAGGCCTGCCTGCTGCCATAAACTGGCTTCAGCTCAGCTTCAT